CTGGTAGCCAGATCTCATTATTAGTCTGATCTGTCGACAAGCCTTTATATATTTGAGCTGACTGAACCTCAGGGCTCTCTCATTCTTGCTCTCTCTGCTATGGAAGCCTGCTGCAGGGTGAAAAGGCTGCCTGCAGACAGAATACTAAATAGGTGTTGCCTGTTCATTTTGGTGGAGCCCATTAGGGGGCACCCTGTTAGTCAGGAACTGAGCTGAGTTTTGTCAGTAGCTCAGACAAGCAGATGCTTTGTTTGTTTTCATGCTATTGACTTGCTCTACAAAGCACTTGCTGAATAAAAGTGCAAAAAATCTGCTTGGACTGTTTCTGGGTGTCCCTGTCTTGTGCATGGTTTACCACTGCCAGTACTAGTGGAGCCTGTCCCCCTAGCAATATAAATATATGTATACTATATAATATAGCTGAAATATAGCTTTTTTTTTTTTAAACTACACAGTCCAAACTCTATTACATGTAAGTCTCTTGGTGAGTTTCCTGACCAGAGGGCATATAGTAATTACCCTTATACTTACAAAATGGCCCTGACTGAAATGTTTCCAAAATCAAATGAAGCTCTCTGCAGTCTTGCTCGATAAAGACTCGCTTTTTCAAGCCTCAGGGAAAAGTTCTGTATTTGAGTCAGATGACAGCAAAAAAACATACAAATAACTGATTATTATTTTCTCAGTTTAGCTTTTTTGGGGGGTAAAGATCCATATTGCAACAAGAATAAACAAAATAATAATTGGGTTTTGGTAAGGGAACAGGTATGGTACACATGACTTTATCAGAAACGCAGGATTCAAGTGTCATCTAATAAATATATGAAATTGATTAGTGTTTAAAAGAGGGAAAAAAATGAGCAGAGGGAGTAGGAGTATGGAATAATGACAAGTATCTGAGTCACAATAAATGAGAAGGGATTAAGTACTCAATGAATAATAATATTGGGAGATAGATAAGAAATGAGGGAGATAGAGGGAAAGTGATAACTGATGCCCTGTAATAATACAATCAGAGCACTTGTATGGTGACACACCTGAGTGAAGGGTGACGGCTTCGATGGAAAGGGGGCAGATGCATTGGCAGATGGTAGTTTGTGTCACCAGGAGATGTCTTGTCTAATATGAAAATATGTGATGAGTTACTTCCCAAGCTAATTCCACCTCTGAAGCCTGGAAATTTTGTAGCAATGAACGGTGCCTTTTGCCTTACCCATTATGTATATCAGGATGTTGTGCTTTAAATTAATCTTAGTAAATTCTGTCAGTTATAATATAGTAATCTAAGAGGATCAAGACAAACTCAATGAGTATAAAGCAAGCTTGATGGGACACATAATAAACTGAAGCCCCGATGGCACACTCAGATAATGTGATTACATTTTAATTAATGTGAGAAGGCAGGACGCACTAAAGGCTCAAGAATTTAAATATATGAACAGAGGGCTCATCCATACCAGATATGCATTGTGTTAAAAGAAAACCAGAGCTGAAAGAATATGTAGACTGCCTTTGCTGACTTCCTCTTCTAAAAATACTAGTTGACATGCTGATTGGATGGCCTCAAAAGTTTCTGAGTTATAGCATCTATTAGCATTGCACTCACTACTCATACTATGAGTCTTTGTGAGCTATAATGAGCTCCTATAAGCGTTCATCATTGGTTGCGGAAATCTTTTAGCTTATTGGAAATGTCTTGCAAACACTGAGCAGTTCCATTTTGAGCAGTTCCAGTTTCTGTATCGAAAATCTGTGAAATACTTGGCAAGCACTGAGAAGACACACTCAATAAAACAAGCAGAGAGGCACATCCAAAATGCCTGTTGGCTGTGAGAGAGACATTAGGGAAGGATTAGAAAGACACATTCAGTAAAACAAAGGCTTATTAAGAAGTGGATGTATGGACACTGAGTAGGCAGAAGATACACTGGAAAGGAGATGATTAAACACTTGAGTAACTATGATTGGGGTCTAAGAATGAAAACGCTCAAAGGGATGAGAAGACAGTTTCAGTATTAGGAGATGAGATTCCTACTCTGGGATCAACTTTCTTGTTTTAACTCTACATGTATCCATGAGATCCACCGAAATGAATTATCTAGCTATCTTACTGGCTGGATCTCAATTGCAGGTATGATATGGTATCCTACCCCCCACCCCAGTTCACTGTCATTCAATTTTCTAGTGCACAAATGACAAATCAAGACATTTTTTCTATCGGCTTCTGTTCTATCTCCACTTATAATAACTCATTGAATCTCTGTTTTAGTCCTGTTTATCCAGCTGTCTATCACAACAGAACTTGCTCTGAAAATCCATGCGCATTTGAAACAGAAAAGGACATGGAAGGGCACACTCTAGTGTATCTGGTTCCTGGCTGTGTGTAAAACACTTACGAATAATTGGCGTGGCACACTCATTGAAGGGATGGAGAAGGCATCCACCATAAGGGTAGGAAGGGAAGGAAAGCTTGCACTTAGGACAGCAATGGCTTCAAGTGAGACACTGAAAGACTTATGCTTCACACTCCGACCTACTCAATAAATCAATGCAAGGAATAAAAACACAGTGCAATAACCATAGCTACCAGTCTGTTACTTTAGTATGTAATAGTATGACATCAATAAAAATTATTCTGGTTGCCATGGGTTGCTGCACTATGTTCTCGAGAAAAAACAACTCCGAGAACAATGATGTGAAGACACTCAGTCAGGATGGCCGTTGGCTGTTAAACACTCCGTAATGACTGGGAAGACACAATGGGGGTGATTTACTAACCTAAACACACACACACACCAGGTGTGTGTGATTTTCACACAGCAAAATGTATTTATCAACCAAAAAGTCTCTAAAAGCATATTTCCACTAATGCCATATATGTAAAAATCATGCACATGATGCATATATAATGCTGCTTCACAGTTTAGACAAAAATGGTTAGCTCATGCATTTACATTCCTTGCATTCATCAACGCAAGCAACACAACATAGAGCTAATTTACCCAACATCACCTTGGAATTCCTTCAGGGCTTTGCACAACACACCTGCTGGGTGTGTACACATTACAAAGGTGTTTAGATTCCACCCATAGATCATGCTGGGAGGGAACACACTGCAGAGGTGTATACACGTTCGTGGTGTGTTTATAAGGTTAGTAAATCAACCCCATTGTGTAAAGAAAGGCTCACTCACTGAGGGTAGATTGGGATCTGTGAGTAGGATAATCGGAAAAGACTGGGGGGAAGGAACCCTGAAATGAAGAAGGTTGAGGAAATGCACATTCTGTAAAAAAATTGAGAGTGGAAAAACTGAACAGACACTAAATGAACACAGTTGGAGATGAAAAATGAGATCCCAAATCTGAGACAATAGCACAATACAACACCATTATTGTCCTTTAGCTAGCAATGACACCAGGGTTCTGCTATTTACACATTCACTATATCTGTGTAATGAAGATTGATGTGTATGATATAAAAGACGTGGATATGACACTATGGGACGTGAAACACAAGTGATCATTTATTAACACAATAAAGCAAAATAGCAGCCCATAGTGGCTTGGCTGGTACACAGCTGATTCATACATGGCTGTATATTATCAGATTATACTATAAAGGAACGTTGACCCCTTGTCTAAGAAGACTGTTATGAATCAACAGCTTTGACATTCTTGCCGCAAAACCTAATTCCACTTCTGTTCTGAGTTGTCCCTCATTTGTGACCTTGGATGAAACAATTATTTCCCACTCTGTAATGGCTCATGAAACAAGAGTGAGTTCCACGGAACAGATATACTGACAAGAGCACGCTTAGGAGGAACTGAAGTTTAACATGTAACAAGGAATCTGACATCTGAGCAGGTTGCGAATAACAGTAGATAGGTTAAGATGTGCACAGTTCAAGAATGGAGGGGACCCTTGCAGAGATTAATCTTCAATATAAACACACATGTATGATATGTCAAGTTCAGTATATACATTACAAAAGAATAAAGGATAAAATGTTGTTTATAAACATCAGGTTGAAGAAATTGATTAGTTGAAGAATGTTGGATATAGATAAAATGTATACCAACTACTGACTACTGTCGTAATAAAGTGTTATTGGCTATAGGTTTGTAATGTGAGGTGTAGAGGATACAGAAGGCTTTCAACAGAGTTTGAAACATAGCAGACAAATTAATTTCAATTGACAAACTAATAGAATAAAGTGTGGATGATGTACAGGGGCAATGCAGACAATACCTTACATTATAGGATAGAGATTTCATAATGATGCAATATACATGGTTTAAGAAGTATAATTGGCTTGTTAAAATGTTGGAGGAAAGCACTAGAACTGCCGTAATATAAGATATAAGATCACCTGTAATATAAATGGTTCAAATGGAGCGTTGATGGATATAATTATCTGCTATACTGCAATATATACAATAGAAGTTAAGTTAAAATTTGTGAATGGCTTAGGATGGGCAGTATAAAATGTATTATCTGCTTTAGGAAATATTGTTTTACGTTGAAGTGCAGCTTCCAGAATTTACTAAACGTATACTCCTGTGAATCATATATAGCGATGGTGAATATAATGGTTGGATTTAAGATATTACAGTTTTTGTATGTAAGGGCTAGGCATGGCTGTGCAAGTTTTAGGAGCTGGATTAAGTAGTGCTGACATACAAAAGTCTAACATGTTAGAACTGAATTCAAGGCAGAAGGAAATGGTTAAGTATGACAACATTGTATGCAGTGGTAAGATAATAGTAATGCAGGATATTGGAGTTAGGGTGCTCAATTTTAGAGTTAAGCTCAGCATTGCAGTGTTAGCAGTCAGGTACAAACTATATGATCTGAGAGTTAACTGAGCAAGAATTCTCTTTAGCAGGAGGGTCAAGAAGTGCAGAATACTGTATATGGCATGTGTAGAAGAATACATTTCTAGTCCTTCTGTCCAGTCCTACTGAGTCCAAGAGAACCCAGACTCCCTCACCCCTCCTCACCTGTGCACGGGTCCCCGTCACATACCTGGATGCTTGGATCTGCTGTGTACTCTGTCCTCCTCTCTCTCGGTGACTCTGATTCTCTGCTAGCTGAGGAGGGAGGGAGCAAAGGATGCTGCGCTGGTGCTGCTGCTACTAACCCTTTCTCTACCATACTGCACTGCTGTTGACAAATACAGCAAGCTTCTGGAGGGATCAGTAGACCCTCAATGTCCTTCTACAAGTGACCTGCCCTTTAGAACTGAACACACAGGCTCCTGATGGATTTAGCCATCTTTTGCAGCTTGTGACAGCATCTTGGTTAAAAATGTCATGTGGCTGCTTTTTAAAAGCTCTTCTACCCGCTAGAGGGTTAATCCTGCCCATATAAATCCCTTCTATTAAATCCCTTGTAATCCATACGTCAAGCACTGTATCCCCCTCTGGACAGATGTGCCACATTTACTAAGCGCCCTTGCTTAACATCATTTAACGGTAATGCCACGTAGTCCCTCCCACTGACAGTAACATGACTGCACAAACCATACATATGAAGGTGGCCATGGGATGAGATCAGGGTCATAGTTACAAATATTCAGTTAAAAGTTACACTGGTGACCGAACCTTAATATCTATGCACCACATTTCCTATGAATCTTTTATAAATTTGCCAATTATAATGATTGGGACTTTATAGGTGCTAATTTTAAGCCAAATAAAAAAACAATATCACAATATTGTTAGTAAAGTGTTTAGGCAGCACAGTGGCGTAATGGTTTGTGCTTCTACTTTGCAGCACTGGGGTCACTGGTTCGTATCTTGGCCAGGTCACTATCTGCAAGGAGTTTGCACGTTTTCCCTGTGCTTGCATGGGTTTCCTCTAGGTACTCCGGTTTCCTCCCAAACTCCAAAGACATGCTGGTAGGTAAATTGTCCCTTGTATGTATCCATGTGAGATCAGGACACTAGATTGTAAGTTCCTCCCTAGTAATTTGGGAAAATTGAATTGCCCCCGCTTGCACTCCCCTGTATGAAGTACAGGTAGTACACTGGCACCCCTCAGGAAGCCAGGGGGTGGGTAATGACCCACCGCCCAGCTTCCTGATTGGCCAGCTTTCTGACCAATCAGGAAGCTGGGTGGCAAATCATTACCCACCCCCCCCAGCTTCCTGATTGGCCCGGAATCCAGCTCCATGCTCCCTGGAGCATTCCAGCTTCCCGGCCAATCAGAAAGCCGGGTGCCGTCTAATGACTTGCCACCCGGCTTCTTGATACCGGAAGTTCCAGAATCGGCATTTGGACGAGTACTCGGTATCGGCTTATACCTACCTATAATTATTATGAGATTAATACAATTTTATGCCAGTTGAAAAGGAGGTGCGCAGACTACTGGTGGTCTTATGGTTTTGTCCGAGCAAGTTTCTAGTTATTACTTAAGTTATTACTAAAATCAGCAATAATCAAATGCAGAGGCAATTATTTAATATGATAAAGAGTAGAGACATTTAAATAGTCTTGCAGATACAACCGGCCCTTTGAGGGCAACCATAATGCTGATGCGGCCCAAGATGAAATTGAGTTTGACACCCCTGCCTTACATCACTAGTGAAGCCTGGTAGCAGGGGGAGCGAAAAAAAAACTGTCTTCCATGGTTCCAAGGCAATGTAGGAGATATCTGTACATAAGGGAATGTATGTGGAGGTGCCTGCTATAAGGTCCCATAGGCAGTTTGCTAAGTTTGGAATCAGTAAGGGCACAACTCAAAGGAGAGAAGTGGCCAAAGCAGCAGAAGGGTTTCATCTTAACTATTCTTCTTACAGCCAAAAAGCTCTGACTATACAGTAAATATATTTAATCATATCTCAACAGACATGAAAGACAATTATCGCAAAATATTATATTCTGATGATTGTACTGTACAGTAATACCTTGGTTTACAAGTAACTTGGTTTGAGAGTGTTTTGCAAGACAAGCAAACATTTCTGAAAACTTTTGCCTTGATATACAAGCAATGTCTTGCAATAAGAGCAACATTTTGTAGAAAAGCACCACCAAATAAGGCTGTAGCAGTGCGAGCGATGAGTCTGTTTAACGACAATGCAATGTCACATTCGATAGATTCCTTGTTACGGTTTCACGAAATGAAAAAGATTCCATTGAGTGAAGAGATAGCAGTGATTCCGTTAGTGATAGTGAAAGTCGTCCTACACAATAATCCTCCTCTCTTGTCCCCCTCACAGCAGCCACGAAGGTACCGCTAATTGGTTTATTTGTCTTTATATTTTGTACATTATTATATTATAGTACAGTATTGTAATCATTTTTCTATGAATATTTTTGGGTTGTGGAACGAATTCCCATTATTTCCTATGAGGAAATTCACTTTGATATACAAGCGGTTGGGTTAACAAGCATGCTTCCGGAACGAATTATGCTCGTAAACCAAGGTATTACTGTATATGGTAAACTCATTAACCATAAATCAGCCTCTGAGTTAAGGCTTCTTAAGTTCCCCCTGGCAGGTTTATAGTTTGCCTCACTCTGCACTTTTGCTGTACAGCTTGAGCCTTATGGCTCCATTCACACCTGCAAATGGGGCCTGATTGCTGAGTCTCCTTCGTGAGACAGATATTATCAGCTGTGGGCGGTAGGGGCTCTGTACCATTAGATAACAGCTGCCCCCTTCCGCAGCTGTTTGCAGGCCATTTACATGTAATTTCTCCAATTGCCTGCGGACGATCATGCAGGGAAGTAAACAGTCTGTATTAGTAAAGTAGAGAAAAATGAAAATAAAGGCTTATAATAATGATAATACTAATAATCATAATGGCAATAAATAATATAGTGAACGCTCTCATTAAATGTATTACCCATGTTACATTTTAAGAATACAATATTTTTATGACCTCCCTAAATTCTTAAACCCTGCATTATTGCTGGCCAATAATTATGTCATGTCTGTAGTTACATACAGTAAACAAAGCTACAATGCAATGCAAGTTGTGTAGGTGCCAAGGACAGGTTTAGAGCTCTCAGTAAATGTATACTTTAGCATACATTCCAGGGCTGTGGAGATCTGCATGGACAATTATCCTTCCTCAACCTGGTGACGACGCTTGTAAATACAGAACAACACAAAAAGTACTCACTATTTAACTTTCATCGGAGCTGTCAAGGCATGTCTGGGGACACTTTGCAACGCTTAAACATTTGTCCTTGATTTTTAACAAGTGCCCTGTTCTGCGTTTCATGCTGAGGAACAGAAACATACTTCAAAGTGTCTGTTCTGTATGCTGAATGTGAGATACGATTACTCAGTTCAAAGCAAGGTGTTCCAAACATAGTTGCTCCGTATCATGATTATCAGGACCAGAGAAAATGTTCTGAGAGGAGGCTGCACTGGCTTTGTATATAGCATAACAATGTGTTATATGCATATCCTTAGGTCATCTAATGCTGAATATGAGAAGAGCGGATTATGTATAGTACACCTGAGTTAATCCTGAATGTGTTAAATAGGAACTTTACCCATATCTTCAAAATAACAACAAAAACACCTTTAGAAATGCTTAGTAATTACAATCTACAAACACATACTTAAAGATAATTGCCGGCTTTTTATTCTTTGCATACCTTGTTTTTCTTTCCTACCAATGATTCTCACAGCTGCCATTTTTACTAAGGACAGATTCATATATTTCCCTTTACCTCCTGGAACTCTGGCACACGTGACTAGGACACGTGACCATGCACATCATCTCAGGGGAGGAAAATGTCTTTCCCTAATATCTCATGAGATTACAGATGAGATTCCCCAGCAATGCTCTGCTGATGTAACCTTACCAGGATGCAATGCTTGGGCACAGGTTACTTCACTAATGAGTGTAAGATGATTTCATATCAGCATGCAGTGATATTTATTCAAAGGGGGTAAAAGTCCACTTTAAACCACTAACACATGTGAGAAGCAAGAATGCCAACTGATATCTCTTCATACCTTCTAGAGTGCCCCAAGGCTCTTGGTTATGCAAATACTGACTTCAGGTCGCCAAGTTGAACTTGGCACACCCCCTCCTGTCTCTTGCATTTCACTGTTGGTTAGTGACGCCATGCATCAGAAGTGACCAATAGTGAGATGGTGAAGGGACCATACTATATTCAGAATTTGCATTACCAAGCCTCTCGGGTTTGGGGGGTCCTGTGCCACCCTATAAGTTATATGAAAGTAGGAGCATATCTATAGGCACCTGCTTTTTCTATCTGCTGAGGATTTAGCACATGTAGACTAACCCAGCTGTACTTTAAAGCTTAAATCCATCCCAAAAAATTAAAAGATTTAGATAGCATGGGGAAGGATTAGAGCATTTCTCAAGTTTTGCTTCTGTCTATGTCTAAATTGAAATTTGCCATTACATCCTGTCCTATGACAAAACGTTTGGTTAGAATTGAACTTTAAAGCCCAACTAAACTCAGTTTAGATCAGTTAATTGCATTACGTTTTTTTTTTCTTTAGAGAACGTAGAGAACGGCCACAGCCTGAGTTGAAAAGTCTGTCCCCGCCAGCATGCTGCAGAGAGGACTGCTGCACTCTGTTTGGAAGCAGTGGCCTCTTTGCGGAGGTCTAAGACTTCACCTGCTGAGTTAGAGTTAGACATAGGACATGAGCTTTGCTTATTGCAGATTAATTGAACACATACAAGACCTCTGCAAAGAGACCGCTGCTTTTCCCATAGAGAGCAAGGGCCCTCTAAAAGTCACACAAACCAGAACGGATTTCATGTGTGTGTAAAGTTGGATTCATCTGTGTGTGTAAAGTTGACCCGAGATGTAGCGCAGAGCAAATGCAAATAAAGGTAATGGGCAAATCTGTGACAAATGAGCAGCCTGGGGACTTAGGACAAAGAACAGTGCGAGTCCTAATAGGAAATCTATAGATTTGAACGCTCTGATCAAATACTTTTTCTGGTCAGTCTTTATATTGCGGTTTATAAATACAATAAATGTTAGTGAATTTAGCATTCAATATAAAAGCCAACATATCCAGGTGCGGGTGAATCATTGTTTAAGGGGGAGATGTAAATACACAATATGCCTTATATATTATGCAAATGATAAATTGGTGAAAGTATTGAGAATTTTAAAATCAAGGGGGAATCTGACATTTAGACATTTTTAAAATGTCTGAATGTCGGATAAATGTCAAGGAACCAAAAACTAGTTATCTTTCTAAGTTTATTAGCTTAGGACAGCCATAAGAAGTA